AATGAATGATTTGTTGATGAACCATATGATGTTTGTTCACATTCAATTGGTAATGTTTCGGGAATTTTTGTTGGATTTTTTGCGGATGTTTTTCTTAATGATAATGAAGACATTGATGATGATGATGATGAAAATGTCTGTTCATTACTAGTATTTGTTTGATTATTTTTCAATTCAATTGATTTATTTTTGTTTATTGATTTTTTTTGTTCAATTTTACTTGATTCGATATCGTTGGATTTTTTTCTTCGTTGTTGTTGATGATTTTTTACGCATAATTTATCCATATGAACATTATTATTATTTGTAACTAAAACTTTGTTATTATTCGATTCACAAACATCATCATTATTATTACAAAAATTTGTTTCCGTTGATAATGGTTTAATAGTAGCCATAGACATTGTTGTTGTATTTAATGTTGCGGTTAAGACATTATTAGCTAATGATTTAGCTATATTTTCTATTGATTTTGGCTTTAGGCTTATTTCAATTTGTTCCAATGATTTAATCGTTGATACATCTTTGAACTTTTTATCATCATTGCCGTTGTTGTTGTCGTCGTCGTCGTTGATTTTTATTGCCATTTCTTTTGTTGTTGTATCGATTACGGCTAAAAATTTTGATGAACAAAATACAAAGAAATAAAAAAAGAAGAAGAAACATGAAAAAAACAGTCATTTATTTTGTATCTATTGAATGTAAGGAGAAAAAGTAACAAAAATGAATCTTTTCGGCCTTGGTATACACGGTTAACATTAGTTATTTTTTTCTCAAAAAAACCCAAACATTATTGATCAAAACAGAAAACATATCAGAATAACGAAGTTCACAATGAAAAAAAAAACAAAATCCAATCAGAAAAAAAAATCAGATCAATATTTTTTCACTCGTAATATACTTTCAATTTGATCAAATCAATATTTTGTTATCATTTTTTTAAAAAAAAGAAAGTCAAGATTCAAATATTATGCAAATCAATTTTGTTGTTGTTGTTGTTGTTGCTTGTATTTCACATTAATTATGATTGAAATATGCACATACAGACAGACAGATAGACACAAAATGAAGAAGTGAGAATATCGAACGATGAAATCAACAACAACAACAACAACTGATCATCATCATTTTAATGTGCTGACCGATCGATTGATTTCTTTCTATCTCTATTTTTCCATTCAGTTGATCTGATTTATTTTGATATGAAAAAAAAAACCGAATAAATGAATGAATGAACGGATGAATGAATAGACACACGTCTCCGTTTCATCTTCTCCCCATAAGATAAAAATAC